AAATATTTTTAAAAAGAAACAGTGAAAACACTGACTCTATGGATCTTCTGACAGTGGATGTCTTGTGGGTTTAACAGATGATCCAAATGCATATTGATGCTTTCAGATGATCTCAGTGTATTCTCTGGGATGCTGTGAGATGTCTGTAGGCTTGGAATGGAGAGGTGCAACAGGCAAGAGCTGGATGGACAATGAGTTGGTGATGGGAGCATAGAAACATGCTGATCTTGGACAGGCTTTTCAAAAGGGGTCAGAATTTGAACTTTCTTCAGTTCTGCAGGGAAATGAGTTAGCTCTGTGTGGGCCACAGGAATTGACAGCATCAGGTAAATAAGTGACCAGATGTTCAACAGGAAGGTTGGCTTTCTGAATGGACTACTGAAAAGAAAGCAGAGGATCAAAATTCTCTGCTCCAGACTTGTAGATTTTGATAGGTAGTTTATATAGGTAATTTAGGAATATTGCTTTGCACCTTTCTCAATGACTGCCCTAAACTCAGTCTATCCAAATATTTTTTCCAGGCGGCATGAAGAATTTGTAATGCTTTCTGTTATCAAAAGCAGAGCTTGAAAGAGTCCTGCACCATACCAAAGATATGAATGCTGTGTTAAGGAATTTGGACATATTAATAAAAACAACATATTACTCTACCACTCTCTCCTCTGAAATTAAACGTGTCAAACAAATTGCTGAAACAGTAGACGGAAACTTGGCAATTATGTTTGTGTGGCAATTTGATTCTGTTCTCCCAAAATACCTCTGGAGAGCATCCAACTGTAGCTCTGCTCTGATCCCAAGACTACCCTGCAGATGCCCTAAGCACACAGACATGTAAGCAGCAAGCTCTGGCGGCCTGATCTGTGTAGTTGCTAGAAAGCTTCAAAATCTGCTTTGCTCTCAGAGGACTTTCCATTTGGGAAAGGAACTGATACCATTCCAATTTTAACTCTGGAAGAGGAAGGGAAAATAGAAAATCTTCAGAGAAGCAAGTTTTTGTCTAGACTGTGGAGCCAGCTGGGTGTCTTGTTCTGTCTTGTCAGGCTGCCTTCTTGTTTGAGGCTGTGTCTGACTGGTTGACAAGTGCATTAACTCTGGGAAAATAAACCCACTTTTGGTGTGGCAAATGAACCCTGGACTCCCATGACCATCCTCTGCCACAGTTGTTTCAGCACTGCTTTACTGACCCATAAAAATGCACAATCTTCTCTCCTTGTCCTTTCCCTCTCATCATTTGAAAAGCTTTCCTCTGTTTTTGCCTTAAAAACTACTTTTGAAATGAAAGTTCCCTTTTGTTTCACTGACTATAAAGTGTGCATGATAATTACAGGACAATTGCTGTGTTAGGTGAGATACTGCAGTGTTTCTGCAGGACAAAACCCTGCTCCAAGCAGGAGCAATTCAACCTCTCTCACTCAAACCCCAGGAGCCAGGGACGAGGGATTTCCTCAGTTTTGTGCTCAGCAGTGACAGTGGTATCTGTGTGGATACAATTTATTGCACTGTAAGTAATAGTTTAATGGCCTTGCACGAGATAAATGCTGCTTCGTGCTGGTGTGTGGTTTTCAGTAGTATGGCAGAGAATTACTTAGGCCTTTTAATCTGCATCATTCAAGAAGGCAATATTTTAAAAATGTGATTATGATATCAAAGGTTTGTGAAGTGAAGGGCAGAGAGGCTTTTGTTGCTCCAAAGTTTTCCTGTCTAGAGAATGTAAGTCATAAGCATGACAACTATGGGATTTTTTTTTTTTTTTGTTTTTGCTATTTGATTTGATAGTTTTTTTATTCTTTGAGTCAGGCTTCTTTCCTTCTCCTGCGTTTGGATCCTCTTAAAATGTCTAGTTTCAGGGAAAAATGCAAGCATAGCAGAATACCTGTGGAAGTCTTCTGTCATTTGCTAACTAATTGCTGCTTTTAGAGTGGTACCTGTCTTGTTTCTTCAGCAGTATGTCTACTTAGCTCTGCTCTTGCTTCAAAATAACTCATATTTCATTCTCTGAAAGCCCACTGTCCTTGACTGTCTTTTAAACTTTTTTTTTATTTTTATCATTTGTTTGGGTTATTTTCTGTTGGTTGCTGTCAGGGAGATGCTGTGGTAGCTCAAGAGGCTGTTCCTCTTCCCTGTTGTATCCCAGTTGTTGCATTGGTTATTTACAAGGATGCGACCTGACTTGCACCATAGTTGTTGACCCTGTCTTGTGCAAAGCCCTGCTGCCTCCAGGGATCCAAATAAAGGATCTTTTTAAAATTTAGATGCTACAGACCCTATGCTGTTGTCTGTAAAACCAGGGGCTTTGGTTTGGGCAGGACCCAGGCCCCCCATTCAGAGCAGCGGTACTGTACAAAGCCTTTGGCCCCTGGAATGCCTGAGTTCCTCAGCTCCCTGGAATACCTGAGTTCCCTTGATCCCTGAGGGATCAAGGCCAGATTGGATTGAACAGGGCCATAGACAAGTTTCCCTCAGGAGAAGCACTCAGCTCTGGCACATACTTACCTGGTCAATATTTGCTTAGTTAAGAGTGGGAAGGGATGGGAAAGTTCATCAGCCAGTGGTAAACTGGTTTCCTGAGCATCAATACCATTAGATTTGGGTTCAAAGGCACTGTGTGGGCAGAAACTGGCCTCTCAGCCCTCAGTGCCTCCTGGCTGTAAACCCGTCCACCTTGTCCCAGGTTGTGTTGGGGATGGCAGTAGCTATTTTAGGGCAGTTCTGGAGGCATTGGGTGGGAAAAGATAGGGATTTGGGTGCTAGAAAAAAGTTCTAGAAAAGCTTCTGAAGGTGGGGGTATTATTGCACAAGTTAAATGATACCCTGGATACAACTACTTTGTGGTTGGGGCTGTTTTAAAGTGTGGTTTATTTGGCATTGAACAGCTATCAGAGAGGTGGTTTTAGCCACTGTGCTTTTAAATTCAGCATGCTAAAGCCCTTTGGAGTTGTGAGAATATGTGTATGTGCAGACTGGTGTTGGTTGAATTCAATTGTTACAAAACACACCCTTGGAAACCTCATCTGGGATGGTGTTGCCATGTCCCTCACATTTTGCCAGTTTTCAGAAGCTGTCAGGTAGTACTGTGTGGGAAGTGTTACAGGGATAAATCCTGAAATCCTAATTTGGGCTAAACTCCCACTGTTTTCAGTGGGTGGCTTGCTGGCATTAAGGCCAAGTACCCCCAGCTATTACAGATGACCTTTCTGTCCTTTAAAAATCAAGGAGACTGAGACATGATGCCTCTGTCTTGTACTAGAGATCAAACTGCAGGATTGCAGCCCTTAAAGTTTGTACATGTGCTGAGATTTGTGAACAAGAAGTTGGTTAACCAAAAACATTTCCAGTAACTGTTCTTTAGATTCTCAGTAGTGCTGGTGAAATGCCAGAGATCTGGAAACAGAAATTAGCTGGTGACGTAGAGCAGTGCAGGAAGAAGACACTAATTCCATAGGGGAAACACTGATGTTCTGAAAACTCTACTTTTCATAAATAGAGAATATATAACCCCATGTATTTTAAATGGAAAAATTTAAATTCTTTCAAATTACCAGCATAAATTTATTGAAATTGTTTGCTCAGATAAATGATTTTTATTTTTTTAGGAGAATGTTTCTATGAAATCCCTGCAACTTTTGTCACTATATTGCTTTCCAGCAAAATTGAATTAAATGTATTTTAGAAGTCAAGAGTCTGAAAGTAGGTACCTGGAGTTCCTGACTATCACCAAGTGGTTGAGATCATAAGTTGTTCTGGCTTTGTCTCTCTATGCAAGAAAGAGGGAAGATGTTGTGTTTGTGTTGGCAATGCTTAATAAAATCAAACAATATTCAAACAGTAAGAAAAGAAAAAGGCCTAAATCCCTCCAGAAAATGTTGCTGTGCAAACCTTGGCTGGCAGGTCTTCCCAGCTGAAGAGCTTCTTTCCTACATCTCAGTGGAGCATCAAAATGAAAGTCTGACTGAACCCAACTTGATGTCAGCCTCAAATATTATGTAAGGGTACCCCAATAACTTGCTCAGTTGCTAGTGAGGCTCTGAAGCCCACACTGTATTGTTTTTCTTGCCCATTTCCCCTTAGGTGGTCATTGGCTATTCATATTTCAAGCTCAGGAGGGCTCTTCTGTCCCATCACTTGGACTCCAAGGGGGAAGAAGCATTTTCAAATCCTTCCATGCCCCTCTTTACCTCTGAGTTCACCCTCTGGATTGTGTACACAGCTCTCTTTTTCCTTTTTTTCTCTTCCTGAGAATATGTTTCTTGTGCTAACTGAAGTTGCAGAAGCACCTGGAAGGGTTTAATTTCATGCTGTGTGCTCTCTAACTACCTGAATTGCCTTTCCTTTAAAGCCTTGATTGACTGGTAGGAGGAGGGCCAAGCAGACAAGGAGTACTTTGGCTTTCTCCCCCTCTTGTGCCTCCAAGATCACAAATGAGGTCTGTGAGAGCTGGGACAAGAGCTGGCATCTCCCTAGTACTGGAACTGTACTCCACACACTAAAATTCATAATGAGGGTATTATGGTACTGATCCCAGCTCTTCTGCTGGTTTTCTGCTCAAGGTTGTCACAACCACTTCTAATTTGTCTTCATCACTAAACTGGGGCCTTGGATACTGAGGAGTAAAAACGTGCTTCAGACAAGTAGTCTGAATGATGTTGTGTGTCTCTCTCCTTTAAAGCCTTCCTGTCAGTTTGTGTGGCTTGTCATTGCAGAATTGTAGGTTGACAGGAACCTCTGTGTGGATAGTCTAGTCTAATTCCCCATCTAATGTAGTGGCAGCTGAAACAGCTCAGTGGCATGTCCAGTGAGGTTTTGAGCATGCCCAAGGATAGAAATTCCCATTATCTTCCTGAGCAACATGTGGTTTTCTGAGTTCTCTGGTTTTGTGTCCATCTCCCCTCATCCCCACCCAGAAAAAAAAGTGTGGTTTTGTTGTGGGGTTTGTTCTTACATTTAAATGGAATTTCCTGTATTTCAGTTTGTGCCTGCTGATTCTTGTCCTGTTGCTGGATACCACCAAGAGGAGCCTGGTTTCATCTTCTTTACATCTCCATCAGGTATTTATGCACATTGGTAAGACCCCTCTGAACTTTTTCTTCTCCAGGCTGAAGAGTCCCAGCTCCTTCAGCCTCTCTTTATATGCCAGATACTCCAGTCCCTTAATTGTCTTCGTGGACCTTTTGCTAGACTCTCAGCAGTATGTCCACATCTCTTTTGTACTGGGGAGGGAAGGACTTGTCCCAGCACTCCAGATTTGTCTCACCAGCCCTGAGCAGAGGGGAAGAATCCCCTTCCTTGACCTACTGGAAGTTGTTTTTCGTAATGCAGCCCACATGCTGTTGAACTTCTTTGCTACAAATATGGTTTGGAGGCTCATGGCACACTTGATGTCCACCAGGAATCTCAGGCCTTTCTCTGCTTTTTCTGCTTCCTTTCTGCCTGTTGGCTCCCAGTCTGTGTTCCTGAGCAGCAGGGCTTTGCATTTTCCCTTGTTGAACTGCACAGGTTGGTGTTGGCCCATTTCTGCAGCCTGTCCACATCCCTCTGAGTGGCCTGCCTGGTCTGTTAGCCACCATTTCCTATGCTGTATCATCTTCAAAATTCCTAAAAATTGACTTTCTGCTGCCACCCATAATCTTTCCTTTATAAAGAATTCAGAGCCCTGGGTGAAGCATGTAATGAATCAAATCTCTCAACAGTTCTAGAAAGTACATTGCTGTTCACTTGGGAAAGTCAGACAGCGATGAGGCAGCTTCACTAGCACTAACAGAACATTAAATGCTGTGCCTTGTAGTAAAGGACTTCATTATTATTATTTAGGACTTTCATTCCTTGAATCTCTGATACTTCATGCAATACCAGCTCTTGCCCTTTGCTAGCACCATAGCAACCTGCTATAAATGTCACTATATAATGTGGCTTGTTGGCCAAAAGCTGGACAAGGAATGCTTTCTAGGGCAGGAAATCCATGGGGTCAATAAAAAAAGTGCAGTAGAATGAGGGAAAAATCCCACTGTTATTTTATAATATTGCAAAGTGATTTTTCTTTTTCTCTCCAAAACTGTGCCCTAGAGGAAATAGAGGCATTAACCAAAATTCTCTGAATGCTTTATCTATATCCCCTCCCCCAAAACCTACATCCTAGGCACGTCTAAACCTCTGGGCTAACAGATGGTGTTGAGAGGGGGAGGGAGGGGGAACAATTTGCATCTAAATAGCTGAAATAAGAAAGGGTCATGTCCCACAGACCAGCTCCACTCACCTGCTGTTTAAATCCCCCTGAGAAACAGGCAAACACGCTTGGTTTTTTAACGTCTGCCTCGGCTGTACTTGCTCTCTGAAACTTTCTGCCCTAAAAAAGCTGCAATCCTCTGCATCTTGCTGTATGGATTCTGTTCTGCCCCCAAAAGGACGAACTTTTAAGGCTTTAGTTCTCTGAATGGATTTGACAGCTGTGTCACTTCTGTTCAGCCCTCCCATCAGAGTGACTGTTGCTGTTGGTTAGCGTAATTAGCACGAGCACTAATGATACAGAAAAGGTTCAGAGCAAATATTACCTCTTCTGCCAGCTTGCTACTCTCAGGGCTGCCTGATTGCACCTTCAGAGGTGCTCTAGCCATATGGTCCTGTGGACTTGTGATGCAATATTCTGTGCTGGGGTTGTGTGTGTAGGTGGGATGGGCTTTGGCTCTAGTGACCTCCAGGCTGCAGCCCAGTGGGGATCCTGATCCTGCAGGACTGTGGCATGGTGTTGGATGGCTGTGCTTAATCCTGCAGGCATGCAAAGCCAACGTCCTCTGGCTTCCTGACTGTGTCCTGTTACAATTTCTCAGGTCTAAGAGCTTGCTGCTTTGTAATGATTTTGTTTTGGAGTGTAAGGGTCTTTTGCCCACCTCTGTTACGCATTCATGGAGACTACTCTGGGGCTACCCCCCTGTCCTGGCATCAAGAAGTGTGCTTTTGTCTCTTCAGGCAGAGTTTCTCAAAATTTAAGTCTTTGCAAAGCCTGTAATAAGAAAAACCTCCCCCGTTCTTCATAATCATGGACACATTCACAACCCCAAAACCATCCTACCTTATTTCCCAGTGATATTTGGAGAGGAAAGAGGGCTTTTCATGAAGTTTAGTCTTAGTACAAAACACCAAGATGAACAAAACCTGGTTCTACCCATCAGTTCCTTGGGCTTCCACACTCAAATGCTAAAAATAAATAATATGACAATAGTCCAGGTGGTTCAGGAACTTTATTACTGTTGTCTCTTGACAACATCTTCTCTACTTCCCAAGAAGGCAGAGGCATTGAAAGGTTGAGTTTGGCAGACTGGAAGGCTCTGCAGGATAAGGAGTGGTGAAGATGATGTCTGGGGACTCACCACTGTCTGCTGTGTGTTGATCTGGTAGAATAAAATGTCTGCAAAGGAAGTTTTCTATTTCTGGAATTGCAAGACCTTGAATCTCTTCTTTCTTCAGCACAGGCCTGGAGGGAATAGGTGAGGTTAACCTTTGCTAAGCTCCTGGGCTCTCCCTCCCACAAGTGTCTTGGAAGAGAAAATGGCCTTAAGAACTGTCTTTGTTTTTTTCTTTTTTTTCCCCTCATTTAATTCCCAAGTGTATTTCAGTACTGTGGGTAGTACTGGTTGATGTGCATTAGGGCAGCATGGATCTGAGCAACAGCCTTGTTTACGTGCCTCTGGGGAATAAGTTTATTTATTTTATAATTTAATATAGATTCCACATAATAGAAACAAGATCCAGTGTACGAATGCTTACAGAAATAACTGGGCAATGCACAATACCAAATTATATTATTTTAGAGCAGTCTGTGGTACTTTATAACTTTCCACAAATGTGTTTCTTTTTAGTACTTTGTCACTTGAGGATAACTATGTTTTATAAATGGTCATATCACATGATGCATACTCACTGTCTGGGAGTAAACAAAGAAGTGAGTTAACTCAGGTGGTGCAAGTTACATACACACATGCACACATCAATGTGTGTGGATATACATGTTTATACATCCACACTCTCTTCTGTAGGACAGACCTCTGCCCTGCTCCTTCTGCCCCCTTCCCCAGTTCAGTGATGCAGGCTGGTCACTCGCTCTGGCAGCTGTGCTGCTGGTCTTTGCTGTGGATAAAATGCTTGTTATGCAGCAGGACCCCACAGACCATCTAAGAGCAAATCCAGAAATGAAAGATACTATTGGAAATATTTATTTTCCCTGTTTTTTAAAAACAAGAGCATGTAAATTGTGCATCTGTAGCAGAGGTGCACTTTACTTTTTGACAAAGGAGGCAAAAGGGGAATATATGAGGAATTAGGTGCCCTTTGAGGTGAGGTTTGCAGGTAGTGGGATCGAGACTGGGGAAACTGGATTTCACAGACTCCTAGAATTGTTTGTGTTGGAAGGAACCCCAATGATCATCCAGTTTCAGCCCCTTGCCTTGGGGACTGCCCTCTACTGTGCCAGATTGCTCAAAGCCCCATCCAACCTGGCCTTGAAGACTTCCAAGGATGTGATATTCACAGCTTCATGGGCAGCCTGTTTCAGTGCCTCAGCACCATCACAGGAAAGAATTTCTTCCTAGTATCTGATCTAAACCTGATCTCTGTCTTATGGCCATTCCCCCTTGTCCTGTAACTCCATGCCCTGGTCAAAAGTCCCTCTCCAGCTCTATTGTAGCCCCTTCAGGTACTGGAAGGTGCTCTAAAATCTCTGTGGAGCCTTCTCTTCTCCAGGCTGAACAATCCCACGTCTCTGAGCCTGTCTGCATAGCAGAGGTGCTCTGGGCCCTCTGACCGCCTTTCTGGTCTCTTCCAGTTTTTTTCCAGCAGGTCCACATCCCTCTAACACTGAGGTCCCCAGAGTGGGATGCAGACTCCGGGCAGGGTCTCACCAGAGTGGCACAAAATGGAGAATTGCCTTCTTCTACAGTGGCCTGAGATGTAGGCTGCTTTTATTTTAGCAGGTTTCTTTTATTAAGTGGCTTACCAAGTGGCTGACTGACATCGGAACATTTATTTCTGTATCTTCCCAAGCTATCTCACTGGAAGAGGAGTTTGCTGTACAGAAAGGACCATTCTGGTAGTCTACAGTGTTACTTCAATCACTTTCTCTGTGTGGAAGTAAAATACTAAAGATGTGCTGGATTGGAACCATGCCTAAAGCAATTCTTGGCATAATGGGATTATTTTACTGACTTTTAATTAAAATAGAGTTCTAACTAGATTGTTTTGAGCATACATACAGCTCTGGTTTGTTGTTGTTGGTCTAACTGCCTCCTAAATTAAAGGTATCAATATTCTAATCCACCTTCTCCCTTGAGATACTGGCATTAAAAGAGGGTGTGGAATGCTATGTAAATGATTTACAGGCATGCAGTATAGAAAATGGTCTTTAAAGGCATTAGCCAAAACTTAGGCCTCCCCTTTACCTGTGATGTCTTGACAGAGAGACTGATGAATTGTTATTTTTCGGTATGTATTTATTTCTCTGTCCTGACAGGTCTTTTAAATGGTTAGAAACGTAGTCTGAGAAAAATGCCAATAATCTCAGCCTTTGAGGAAGAAGCAGTTAATGAATCTTCACGGAAATACCCAGAGCCAGATGCTCTGTGGGGAAGAAAAGGTTGGGAGCCATTGGACCAGGGGTTGGGACAATACATCATCTCAGATCTAAGATGGAAGCTGTCTGCTGACAACACAAGATACTAAAATGGCAGAATTACAGGCTTATTTGCTTAGGACTACTTTTTGAGAGCCCATTTTAAAATGTCATGATCTGGGATTTGACTACTTCTATTTAAGATATATTGGTTAATTTTTGTCAGAAATAAAGCATTACCTTTTTGCAGATTTTTAATTATCTTTGCGAATTGAAAACCTTTGGGGAAGTTTCACCTGTGTGGGATGTAAATTCAAACCATGCTGTAAGTTTAAAGAATATATCTTGGGCTCAAATCCAACTTCTTACTTCAAAGTTAAAATGGACCTTACAAAGTAGAAGGCCAAAAGTTTAGATGTCTGTTTTATAACCTTTTAATAGAGTAGCAGA